AAATAGTTCATGTGTTAAAGAAAATTTATAATAAAAATAATAAGTGTATTTAAGAGAAAAAAGTCTTACAATTATTCAACGTGCACTGGTCACCTTATTCACAACAGCATTAACAAAGAAGTCATTACCAAGAGAAGAAAGGTAATGTAATGATATATAATTGATCTAATGGTGTATAATCAATAACCTCTGATAAATATTACCCCTTCATTTCCAATATCCTTTTTAAATCATTACAATATACTGCACTCAAAAAAAAAAAAAGTAACAAATCTAAAATACTATAAAAAAGTTAATAATCTAATTTTACTGCTATTATACAGAATGATTTACTAAGTAGACTCAACCTAAATTTTTAATTTAATAATTATTGATCCTTTCTAATTCTGATTTTTGAAATTTTAAAATATAATTAAAAAACTTATTTCAAATTCTTGAGATTTTTTTTTTTGTTTTTCGTGGAGATATAACTTTTGTTTTTTAAGTGAGAACTCCCCTTTGTTACTGTAAAGTATAAATTATTAGCTGGATAATTTTTTATTGAAAATGTTGATGTTTCTACTTCAAAATTTAAAATTATTTTTATATTAATTTGTAATAGTTTATAATAGTACTTAAAAATGATATTAAAAGTATACAACATAGATGTAATATATTAGATCTAGTATTTATTATGTTTGTAATTAATGAACGTGGGCACGTTTTTGAGAAATAATGTATATTTAGCTTGAATACCTGAGTAATCGAATAACAACCATAGAATACATACCTATAGAAAGATAAATCATTAATTTAATTGAACATTGTATTAACAGATGGTGCAAATTGTTTTGACAAACTGCAGTACCTATACATGTTTAATCTATGTTAGAGTTAGTTGAAACTCGTTTAACAAAATAATTGGTTCTAGCATTTCATTTTATAGATGTTCAAACACAGTGTTCACATAAAAACTTAAAAGCCTTAAAGTAATTGACATTTTGAAAATCATATTCCAGAGAATTCATGTCACTATACTATATTACTATATGTAGATTGTAGACTAACATCGCAATGTACCTAGTCGCTGTACATTAATATAGTCCGGTAACCAAAGAAGAAAAAATTTGTTGGCCAGTCGCAACTGAAGAAGAGCAGTGTTTCTCAATGGTGGCTACAATTGAATATCATCCCCAATACCCTGCATAACTAAAGCAATAGTAAAAGATGGAATTAACAGAAGTGCAGTCGCCGTAGACGAATAATGCAGAACCAAATGACTAACAAAGAAGACCACAGCAATATAAATGCATATGAAGATCACTGCAGCAAAATTTCAATCAAACTCTATAATATATTATGTAACCTATCTAGATTTTTATTAGTTTACACGAAGTATTATATGTTTGCAGGTTCGCTGTTCACAATAATAGATTTTAAAAAAAATGCATCAATACTTAATTGACACATGTCCATTGTTTTAATTACAATTTAATCATTATCGTTACATTTTTGTGATAAATATCCATAATGTAAGTGTCACTGCTGAAATGCGATATATTTTTATCAATACTTCAATATATTGAAAATATAAATAATACTTATTGAGTATAAATAGTTTAAAATTTTAGAACTTTTCTTGATATTTTGAAAATTTAATTGAGTGTAGAAAACTATAATCTAAGCGACAGAGGAATTTTTTAAGATTTACGATTATTGCTTTTTGAGTTACCTTTAACAAAATATCAAAAAACTTTGTGGATAAATTATTATTTTACGTTTGAATATCCTATGCTGTCGAAATCTGAACTTCAATCACCAATATTTCTGAAGCTAATTTACCTTATATTCTTTATAATTTTTGTAATCAAAACTTATACGGAAGTCCGAAGTATGCAATACTCGTAACACATTTTGCAACCATAAATATAAATACTAAAACTTTTGTGAATTTTTAAAAGCAAAAACAAAATATCTAATTATCATATAGGATATATAGATATTGTGATGTATAGTAAATTAATAATTGATTATTTTGAAATAAGATGCAATGGTGATTTGAATGTAACGACACATTCGATGGTATGCTGCTCCACTCGTATGACATTTCCGGCTTCCTCGCGGCGGCGAGGTGAGACGCGTAGAAATTATTTCAAATGCTCAGCATAATGTGACATAATATTCTTTGTAGACTCCAAGGTACAATATAAACAGCGAAGAAGAAAGATCGGTGTCTTCACTAAAAAATTCACAAACAAAATTAATATTAATAGCAAATAATCCATAATATTTACAAAGAACTTTACTTTGTCGTTAGTTACATAATGGTTATGACTTCGATCTAAAACTAAAACAAAAACATGTGACAATTTTTTGAATTTCTTCTTTTTTTTTTTAAATAATTTTAATGATAAAATAACTATAAAAGTTTATTACTTTTTTGTTTGAATACCTAATTTCGTGTAAATTTGAAAATTTACAAAAAAAAGTCTAAAAAAATTGTGGACGGGATGTAAATATATTTTTTAGATTTAGGTACTTAGCTACAATATGAACTACTCAATATTAATAACTGTGTAAAAATATTAAGAAAAATATATTAATATTAGTATGGTATAATCATTTTGTGAAAATTTAAAGTATATAACGTTGTTCCTGTTTGAATTAAACATGAAAAAAACATAATTTAGAAAAAATAATACCTATACTGCCCCACTCGGAATCTAGAAAACGAGAAAATCGCTCTGTTGTATACTTGTATAATATGTGTCGGGTTATAAAGTTTTATATAATATTGTGTTGTGCTTGTGTATAGATACCTAGTCATTTAGTAGATCATTGCTAAGGTATATTAAATTTGTATTTAATGACAAATACAAGACCAGAGCAGACAGGCAGACAGACAGCTTTTTATATTTCAAAACAATTTAAACTGGAAATTTATGGAAAAAAAATTTAAATACGTTTTTGATAATTTTAAGTCACTGCAAGAAAAACTTAAGAGAAACCTTGACGTTTTATATTTTTAATCACAAAATATTTTCTTCTTAAAAATTTCTTCTAAGTCTTCCCAATATAATTGAAAAAATCTGAAATAAAATGTTAAAAGAAAACGAATTTTACATAGAACATGCAGTTTTGAAAAAATTTATTTTGTTTTTATGTTGTGATTCAAAAACGAATAACTTGACATCTAACTGTACAGTTTGGAAATAAATAAATATTGTTGCTAAATATTCATGTTTGTATAAACATTATATAATAATTTTAAAAATATTTCAGGTATTTATGTGTTATTTAGGTATAAACATTTGAATTCTTGTTTGTCAGTTTATGTATTATTTTTGTCTATTAGCCATTAGGTAGTCAAAAAGCTCAACATTTTAATTCCAGTTTTCTAGTATGCTATTCTTACTGCGCAATTAAAAAATATTGAAATACTTAAAATTATTTAAAAAATATTTAAATAATAAATAATAATAATAACAATAATCATGTGTCAGAAAAAAATTGATAGTACCTAGACACAAAACTAAAAATAAAAACACACATACTCAAATCATTATAAAATCAATACATCCATCAATATCAAATACAATTGTTCATTAATTTTAATACACTTAAATCTTTTAATGTGTTATGTAAAAATTGATTTAATAAGTTAACTAGCTGCTGGTGTAAGTGTCTAGGTTGTTTTGTTATAAGTATTCTTGATCAGAAGTGTACCTACTAGGAAGTTATATAATTTGACAACATCCAGTTATAAGTCTTCTAAAAAGTAAACAGGACTTTTAACATTGACTTCAAACCATTTAAAGACCTGATGCGCAACTGGTTTATTTTTTTGATTGGAGAAAAATGATTAAAAACTGATTTGATTGTTTAGTTACTAACTATCAGTCACTCTTTAAGATGGATTAGGTTGGTAAATTTATCTTAAGTAGATTAGAGACACAGTGTTTTGTTAATTTTAGTTTAAGTGTAACTCGGTTTAAATAGTAAACTCAATTAAGTTTAACTGTAGTTTAAACATAGCTTATTTAATAAAGTAAAATTAATTTTAGTTTAATATAATTGTTCATTATGAAACTAAATGCGTATTACACATTTTACATTATTAATCCGTCTTATTAACTAATAATAATATGACAGATGAATAATCTATCAAATATTGTTTTGTATTAATTGCTATGTGGCATGCGCAATTCCAATATTGATGGATTGAAATTTACAAAAAGAATCTTACATTGTTTAAATATTTAAATTCTTCATGGTGGTCTTAAACTTGTTCTTTTAAATTTAAACAAACAATTATGGATGATAATAATACAAAACGCTTTTCCCATAATTGATATTTTCATTTTAATTTATTGTTTTTATTTATCTATGAATAAAGCTATAGTTCTAGCCTGCAATTATAGTAATAATTACTTTAAAATTACATTGTTATTTATCAATAATAATTGAAGAATTTTAACAATATTATAAATGGTTGAAATTTTGAACTAATAATTTAAAATTTAAATAATTTCTAATGATATGACAGATATAATAAAATATTGTTAATAATTTAGTTTAAAAAAAATAAAAACATTAAATTATTTATTTATTATAAATAAAACTATAGAATATCTTTATTAAATAATTTGTTCACAAGACAAAAGTAAAAAAAATAAAAAAAAAACAATCAGTCAATATTGTACATGAAATGATACTATAAAAGAATTTTTTTCCTGTATCCTAGTTACCCTAAATATATTTTTATACATATCATTAGACTCAATTGTATTTTAATCTAGTTCATAGAAAAATAACAAAAAAATGGGAATTCAAAGACATTATATGAAGTATAAATATTTTTCCTATAATAATGAAATATTTTACTAAATCTTTACAATTATTTAGCAACATAAAAAAAAAAGTACAATAAACAAAGCAGATCAGTATGTTAGATGTTAGTAAATACAAATAATAAGTTATTTTTCAACAAAATGTAAAAAAAAGTTATATAAATATAATTATAATAAATTATATAATTGAACAAAATTGTGATGAATGTTAGTAGGTGAAATTAATAAACTTTCTGACTTTCTTAATTATTGACAACATTTTTCTGAAAATAAAAATACAATCTTTCAAAATAACTTTTAAATATAAACTGTGGTGTATTACATAATATTAAATAGCAATTAATAATGAGTAATGACATTTGTTTGTCTAATGCAATATGTAAATTTAACTGGAAAATATCAAAAAACTTCATAAAATGTTCAAAAATAATTAGTTATTCGTGTTGACGTGGTTAACATAATATCTAGTTATTAACATACATATACTTTTCAGTGGGATATTAAATAAATTGAAAAAAACTAGTTTTAAACCAAATTTAGATTTTAATATTATTAATTAATCAAAATTGAAATGTTGAAGGTTAAAACCAATTTTAAAACGAAACATAGTGTTTTTAAAGTAATCAAGACTTTGTTAAAAAAAAAAAAAATCAAAAATTTTCATTATGTATACATGGAAAATAGTCTAGTTCATTATACAAAATATATCTAGTAAAACAGAAATGTATACACAGTAAAATTCTAACTAAATAAAGATCCAACAATTTTCATCCACTTGTTTTTAGTATTCTTGAATTTCATTAACTATATTATACTTAAATAATTTAACTATTAACAATAATTTTATTTTAATACAGAAATAAACAATGCAAATACTCTTAGTGGCTATAAATCATACACAACACCACAGTTAGAACATTTTAACTTTATCTACATACAGGTTGCCATTGAAGATATGTGTCCTTAGTGGCTTCCAAATACTCATCTACAAGATTTTGAACTACAGCTCTAGAATCATCCATTTCACATAGATCATCTTTGAACATGTTTTGTTTACGAAATTGATCTAAAAACGCTTCTCTATGTCGCAGTTTATCGTACTGATCTAGAACTCTTTGGAAAAGCTGAAAAAAATGAATAGTAATTATCCCTTCTTAAATTATAATAGTTTAATTATTAAGATATAAAACATTATATACTTGAGATATGCTTGTGTGGTTGGCTAACATAAGACCAGATACACGATGAGCAGTGGGAACATATGGAGACTTTTTTGAAAGAGCAACTTGAATACTGGATGGACCCCAATTAATGAAATTTACAGTTTTTCTTTCTCTAATTCTTTGGAGTGATTTGTATACTTGTGTAGGATCAACATCACCCTTTAATTTTATTATTATTATTGATTATTTTTGTTTACATAAATTTATTAACCAAATGTACAAAATAAATACTTGGATTATATTTAATATAGATAAGTAGCAATGTGGTATTGTAGATCTTTCTTGTGCTGTAGAAACCATCATATTTTTTGGCTGCAACAACCGCCTCATTACATCAAAGACTGTTGTTTTACGAATATTAGCATCCTATTTAGAAAATAATTATGTTAGTATACATTTTATGTTATTAGATGATGCTAAATATAATTAAAAAAAAAAAAAAAATAATTGAAGTACCTCATGGTCAGTAGTTAATGGTGTGTAACCTGTCATAAGGAAGTGTAAACGTGGTGATGGTATCAAAGGTCCAATGAGACCAACTAAGTCATTGTTCATGTATGATGGGTATCTAAATAAGATCAAAACTAAACAATCAGCTTAACTATATACCTACAAATTATAAAAATAAATAAAACATAAAACATTACCTTAGAGTAGCAGTTGAAACAGACATAATTGTAGATACTAATGAATTTATTTGAGCAAATGACGGATTTTCTATATGTAATCTATCGGTAGCAATTCGATTTAATGCCGTATTGTCTAAGACTACAACACAATCTGCACTCTGTGCAAGTCGTTTTAAAGTCAATAACGAATTATAAGGTTGTACGACTACATCACTGTGAATATAATTTAATAGAAACAACAATTTCATTACTTGGATTTGAACACAAGTATTAAGAACCTAAAATCTTACCTAATTTCGTCTTGATTTGGAAATACACTATATGTTTCGATTATTTTTTTTGGATACCGATCAGTTAAATGTTCAAGTATAAATGAACCCATTCCTGAACCTGTACCTCCAGCAATTGAATGGCACAATACAAATCCTTGAAGACTATCACCTCCTTCCGCTTCACGATCTAATATGTCAAACACTTCTTCTTGAAGTCTTTCACCTTGACTAAAACCTGATGCCCAATTGTTTCCAGCACCACCGCCGTGTTTAGATAAATATACATTTTCAGGGTTGTACAGCTGAATTCAATTATTAATTATTGTAACAATGAAGATCATATTAAAAAAAACTTCTTCAAGCTTACTTTTGAGTAATTGGAAGACATGATTGAATGTATAACACGTGGCTCCAAATCCAACAAAACAGCTCTTGGCACATAATGGTTGTCATCAGCCTGATAAAAAAAGACATCTTTTCGATCCCCAACACCTTCTGCAGCAAATGGCTCTAGTACTCCTTCTGGATTAATACCATGTTCGGCGCACAGTTTTTTCCAAAACTCAAATCCAACTTAAACCAAATTAATATTAAATATTTGTACATACCAAATAAAGCTAAGTCGCATTTGTCGATTAAATTAGTTTAAAAATTACTTACTTTGATTTCCACATTGGCCCAATTGGACCGTTATCATTTCACAAGGCATTTTATGAGCAAAGTTATTTTTTATTTTAATACATCAAATTCAAAAATTAACGTTACAGTTTAAACAAATACAAATAAGTATAATATAATTTAAACAATAAGTGAATAACGAAAAAGCACGAAAAAGTTTCAACATAAATAATAAATAATAAACATGCAAAATATATGTAATCAATATTGTATTCAATGATAAGAAATCCTAGACTAAAGAAATGGCGCGAAATTCTAAATATTGATAATGGTCAATATACAGTGTAGTACACGTGACGGTAATTTAAAATATTGTAAGTCGTAATAAAACGATTTGTAAGAATTTAAGTAATGTTGCAATGAGAAAACGTAAGCTCAAATTGCATTTATTGTTGTTAACTTTGAACTCGGACAAGCGATTTATATATAAAAAGACGTAAACCAATAAACCGGTATGACGGTATAGTAAAAAAGTCGATTGCATGGGTACCTATCTACCTATATAGTACATACACGTGAATAAGTAGCATAGGAGCTATTCAATTTTTTTTCTCGGGGGGCTAAAAAAATTTACGACTAACAGTCAAACAAACCCACCTCGTTAGCTTACCATTAATGGCTTTGAAACATTTTTTTTACATCTTATAAGATTTTTACGATGCATTTTATTGATACATTGTCATTATTATTCAGGCCTGTCTCTAGGGCGGACGGCAGAGTGGTTGTCACCCCATACACCCATTCACAACAATATAAATTATAATACCAAATAAGCAACGAAAAGAAAATAACCACTAATGGACGAGACTCCAAATTCAAACACAATATTATTTTACGAGTGGCGGTATCAGCAGCTCACATTTTGTTTTCTCCCTCTGACCAACGCGCTCACTAGTATAGTATAGAAAAATGTCCAAAATGTACGTACATTTCAGTGAATCAAATACCAAACGTCCGTTGTTAGCTTTAATATAAATGTGAATTTACCTATAGTTAAACATAAATTTCAATTCATTATCTGTGATAATGTAATAATGAGCATTACTAAGTGTCTCATACAAGTAGTGAGTACACATTACACATAACTAGATATTGAAACAGCTTAAAATATCTAACGTATAAACACAGATGAAGTTTTTGACTTTAAGTTTGACGATACATGGTCAATTCGTTCTTCTATAAAATTTAACAATGTAAGATTAGTTGTGCTAAACGAAAATGATGCTTATTGTTGCGTGTGTTTCGGAGAGAGAAAACAATTATTATGCAAGTACATACTTTGACCAATATTATACGTAGATAAGTATATTTTTATTTTTAATGACAAATACGCACCGACAACCACACTAATATTAACAAATAATTATATCACAGAATTTCATAAAATAAATAGTTTATCTTAAAAAATCAATCTAATTTAAAATAAATGTAACATATCCATACATACCAAGATATTTTATCTGTTGCATTACTTGTTTATTTTTAAAAAACACAATAAAAAAGTTCTGAAGTTAGTGTAAATAAATGCACAGAATATAGTTATATAGTATAGTATACCCAACAATTTTAAATAAAATATATGATTATTATATACATTAGAGCAGAAATTAATCATATTTGTAACTTAGCGTAGTAGGTATATATTTAAAATTTTAAAGTATTATTTGTCTATTTTCTAATCATTAGAATTAAACTCATGCGGATGACAAAACCAATGCCCATGCCTCTCTGTAAAAGTAATGAATCTAATCATTGTTATTTCATAATAGTTCAGAGTTTAATTTTTACAATTTCCATAAATGAAAAATATTGTTTGCACGTATAACTTGATGCTGGTATAATGGTAAAATATAATTACAAGGTTTTATAAAAACAACTATGTGTACGTAGATATAGTGTTGTTTATTTTTAGCATGGTATCAAGCCACAAATAAATTGATTCACTTGAGTCTTGAAATACCATTAAGTTATCAACATTTAGCATATGTTTTTAAAGATTTATTTAAGTTTTTAGATCTGTACTTAAAATATTTGAAAACTTAGTCAAAACGTCTAACATTTCAGCTTTTATTTCCTTGTTTATGTAGCAGTCTAGCAATAGCATCTTCAATTTAGGAAACAGTTTCTTGATGGAATCTTGAATTCATTGCTGACAATGAGTCATCAAGTAATTCATAATACGTAAATCGATATTTATATTTCATCTAATTTATTTGATATCAAATGATTTAATTTTAGTGGTTAATGTACTGAACTAATTTTGAAACACATCATAAGCATGTCAAAAACGAACTAATAACTTTTTATTTAGTTTAAATGATGTTTTGTTCGTATCTAAAAGTAGGTACAATTGTTACGAATTTCTTCATTTGCAAGAACTAGACTATCATAGTTGTTTAATATATCATTGATTGCTTCGGCTCTATGTCTCTATGTGCCCAACTTTTAGTATAACATGATGTAATTGTCATTATCTTAATGTTAGTTTCCTTAATAATTTTTAATAATTATAATTTTTATTATTAAAATTTATAAAATTTATTCTTAATAAATATTTTACACACAATGTATCATTTAAGCGAAATTCTAGTGTTTACTTGTACTTTAACTTACTTTGATCATCACAATATTCTTCTGGAGTCCATACGTGAGCTGTAGTACATAAATAAAATAATACATTATTCGGGTAGATTTTCTTTTATACATAATGAACATAAAATAGAATTACAATTATAAGTTCAATACATTTAGGACGAATTCTATAAAATATTTGAACAAATTTTTATAAAAAAAATAAATTTATAAGTAATACTTACCATAAACAAAATCACCATGGGATGTGATTTCATCAGTGAATTTAAATATATACTCTGTTGGCAATTTTATGATTAAATAAATATTATAATCAATAAACTAGCTTTCTTTTGTTAACGGTATCTCTAAAAAGATGTACGAAATTCTTTTTGATCTTATAATACAAATACTTCATTAATGACGAAGAATTATATTATGGGTTTCTGTTATAAGGGAACGAAAATCTGGTTATAATTGACGAATCTATTAAATTTAGTTTTACTTTTCAGTGATGTGATTATATGATTATAATATATTATTTTAAAAAAATACTGATTTACGAGTACGAGTATATTGTCTATATATCATGAGTTTTTAAAAAACTTTGTTCAACTGCAGTTTGGGTATGGATTCGATAGTTGTTATATCGATAGTTGCTAATACTTATATTATATTATTACACATATATCATATATACTTTTATTTAACAATATATCTCGTAGTCTATAACAACGACCTTGTGATAAATACTGTATAAATAACTATCTTATATTGTACCTATTAAAGTATTATATTTATTAATTTAAACATTTATAAATAAGTTTAAATAGATAGGTACCTACACATCTATTTTCAAATAATGTTAATTATTAATAAAAATAATTATTTCAATAAAAAATTTATTTAACTAAAGAAAAGTATTTGTTCAAGTATTTTAAATACTATAAAAAAGTATTTGTATTTATATTCAAATTCGTACATTTTAAAAGTATTCTTAACAACAGTGGTAACTATTTAAATAATATTGTTAACTTTAAATCATAATAATTATTATAGTCTTAGACTGATTGGAACTACTTGATAAATTTATTTTTTCGGTATGTCATATTATATGATTTAGTACAAAACTAACTATTAAATAATAAAATTGTCAAGAATAATTATAATAATAACTAATAAGAATAAAGTTTATTTTCTCTTAGATTTTTTCAAAATATCTATTGTTTTTTAGTAAAATGTAAATGTAAATCCCATTCGTAATAAATTAAATATGTGTAGATAGACATTATAAAATCTCAAGATGTTTACTAGTTATTACTATGGGCTGATGTGAGATTTTATTATTCTTTAGATTGTTGGATTTTTGTAAAATGCCAAAAAATCAAAAACTAACCCTGAAGAACTATTCAATATTGTACAAAATTATGATGTTTTTCATAAAAATTCCAACCATTTAAAAGGCCCGGCTCAAGAATGTTGGTCTCTAATACAAAAGACCTAAATTATGTAATTGATGCAAAATATATTTATACAACCGTTTTCCAAAACAGATATGGCATTGCGAACAAAATAAAAATTAAAAACCAGAATCTATCATCTAAAATATCTAACACCGAAAAAAATATAACATGTAATACTGAAGAATCTTCCGATGAAAACCAAAGTAACTCACCAATATTAGAACATGTGTTTGAAGTTTTAAATTTCAATATTACTCTTTTATCTGAAGAATGGAAATCTATATACAATCAAGATCCAATAAGTTTTAAACGTCCAGACTTAAAAAATAGTATGCGTATGTACTATACATTAGTACCATATAAATGGACACCAATTATTAACAAACATATTTCTGAGCAAACCAAATTTGGATGTTGTGTGAAGTATAAACGTGCTAATATATTATATCCAGAAGGTGAATTTTTTTTAAAAATTGACGAAATTTGTAAATGTTGTAATAGCATTTTTAAAGGATACCTAACAAATAAACCTGAAGAAGGTCGTAGAGTTTATTATTCAGTGCTTAATGAAAGGACCTTACATACAATGTACAACGAGAAATAAAAGGCGAATAATTGGAGAGAAGAAAGAATATTTTTTTAACAATATGTTAAATCAAAATATGTCAGATGCTTATGTTCAAAAGTTAGTAGCAAAGGAAACAATGGAGTATGGTGATCCAGAATCTAGCCATTTACCGTCATTGAATGCGTTACGTGTCATGAAATATAAAGAAAATAAGAAAAAATATTTAAACGAAGACCCGATCTCAGCCATACTGGTAATGAAGGAAATGTTACCTTATAATACCATTATTTAAGACATTGGTTATGATAGATTTTTTTTACATTTTTGGTCTGCTCAAGAAATTAGCTCATACAGAAATTACTGTAAAAATACAAAAATACCAACAATAAGCATCGATACAACGGTTGGTATAGTTAAAAACATTAATTTAATATCTGGGCGACAAACAGGTCATTTATTTCTATACCAAATCGGCGTAATGGATTATATCAATTAATCACAATTTGCAATAGCTCACATGATTTTCGAACGTCATGACAATAATAGTATTGCTCATTGGCTTACTGAATGGATAAGAAGTGGAATTACTACTCCAAAAATTGTTGTATTAGACCAATCATTAGCTTTGATGATAGCAGCAGTAAAAACATTCACTCAATATTCTAGCCTTGTTAAATATTTCAACGTTTGCTCATCTCTGATGTCGAATGAACCTGGAACTGAAGTTCCATTATGCATGATTAGAAATGATTTTAACCATATTATGCATTTAATAAGTAGTTGGCCTGAAATTAAATCAAGTAATTTTAAAGTAAACAATTTTTATTTAAGGTCTATTGGTTTGATAATTATGAGTACTAATTTTATTAATGTCAAACATTTATTAAAAATAATTTTTACCGTTGCTCTACATGAGAACGAAGGAAATAATATTAAGAATGAACTTACACAATGTGAAATAGCAAAAATTTATTTGAAACAGCAAATTGCTACCTATTTAACTGACTATGATCATATAATTACAGACATACATTCTGAAAGACAATACAATTGTACAAGAAGAACATTTAACAATTAATGATATTGATAATTCTATTTTCAATGAAATTAAATGTATTTATGACATCTGTGTTGAAAGTTCAAAATGATGAATATAATAATACAGGATATCGTGATAATATACAATTTTATCCAGAAATTGCAAAACGTTTATTAGATTTTTGTTAATTGATACCATGTTGGTCAGCTATAATGGTTCCTATTTTTAAATATGGAAATTTAACAGAATCCAGTTGTACGTCAGAAAGTTTGTTTAAAGACTTAAAAACCGTTATATTTAAACACAAGCCATTACCACTTAGACTTGACGAATTCTTAAAAATATATATAAATTATACACTTAGCTCAATGAATATTTTTAAATACAATAAATAAACAAGTAAGAAAAATGCATCAAATCAAGAAACTAATAATAAATAATATTTTGAATGACAAAAATAAACATCAACCAATATTTAAATTTGAAGTTCAAAACGAAGCCATGCAATACAAAAATGAAATTGAGCCAATATTGTCGGCAAGAAAAAAAGAAAAGTAACCTACCTGGATAAGGATCCTACTATTTTATATTATAACGATACCAGCCGTACCAAAAAAAAAGTAATTGGACTTTTAAAAAATGGAAGTATTTCAGATTTAAAATATATTGAAGTTGATAAACAATTATATTGCGTAACAAATACATGCGCCTTTGATAGTATAGTCCAAATAACGTTTAGCTCATGTGTTGATAGTGACATGTATGCTGAACAGTGGCGTGCTCAGGGACGGGGTTGTTAGGGGATTCAATCCCCCCCCCCCCGTGGCATTTAATGAATATATAATAAGTATTAACTATTTACATATAGGTAATTATAATTATTGCTTTTTTCAATTTTTGAGTTTTTTTTTCAACAATTGATTAGGTATTATTTTCTCCGTATCAACTGATAACCTATTAAATTGTATTCGACATGTAAGACCATCAACTAAAATTAATTGTAAATTTATAATGTACACTTTGTAAAAATAAGCTTGAATTTTTTTT